CCCCATGTCCCCATGTCCCCGTGTCCCTGTGGTTCCCCCCTCCCGCAGCGTGATTTAGGGACCGTCCTGCCCCATGTCCCCATGTTCCTCCCGGCAGCGTGATTTGGGGACCATCCTGCCCCGTGTCCCTGTGTCCTCCCGTGGTAGCGTGATTTAAGGACCATCCTGCCCCATCTCCCCATGTCCCCATGTCGTGTGTTGTTCCCCCAGCAGTGCGATTTGGGGACCATCCTGCCCCTTGCTCCCATGTCCTATGTTCCCCTGGCAGCGCGATTTGGGGATCATCCTGCCCCGTGCCCCTGTGTCCCCATGTCCTCCCCTGGTAGTGTGATTTAGGGACCGCCCTGCCCCATGTCGCCATGTTCCTCTGGCAACATGATTTGGGGACCATCCTGCCCCATGTCCCCATGTCCTATGTTGTTCCCCTGGCAGTGTGATTTGGGGACCATCCTGCCCCGTGCCCCTGTGTCCCTGTGTCCTCCCCTGGTAGCGTGATTTAAGGACCATCCTGCTCCATCTCCCCATGTCCCCATGTCGTGTGTTGTTCCCCCAGCAGTGTGGGGCCTGCGGAGGCTGCAGCGCAGTGGGGGGGGCCGTCGCTTCCCTCGCGCTCCCGGCAAACTTGGCTTCCTCCTCATCCCGGCCCTTCCGCGGGGCATCCTGAGGCAGTTTGTTCCAGGGGGTGACTCAGCGGGGACGGCCGTGTCCATCCCGCTCCAGCGATGCTCCTGCACAGAGCACTGCGGAGCCGGACGTCATTGCAAGGGGAGGACACACCGGGTTCAGGAAAGGACGCGGTGCCGGGGCCTGGGACCGGGCTGCTGTGCCAGGAGGGACACAGCGCTGGGACAGGGAGGCCAGCAGGACCCTGTCCCCAGGGAGGGACGTTGGGGCTCTGGAGATGCTGGAGCTGCTCTGGGGACACCGCCTCCAGAGCCGTGTTTGCCGGGGGGGACATCGAGGCGGGTGACAGCACAGCAGGCAGCACATGGTGGTGGCTGGCGGCGCACAG